AGGCCTCCCTCCGCCCTGCGCGCCGCGGGGCGCTGCTCCCCGGGATCGCGGTCGCCCCGAGTGTCCGTTCTGTGCGTTCTTCTCATTTTTAGTGGCCGCGCACTGTCAGACTGACCGCATTTTCTACCCCTTGTTAATCCCCTCCGATTGCGTATTTTTCTCTAAGGTATGTTAGAATCAGCTTGTCCCATTTTTATGAGACGCTATTACGTTAAATGTAGGTTGACGCAGGAAGATCTGGTATCTTTGTATTACTGGATGCCAGTAGCCAAGTACCCATATATTCTCCTAATTTACGTGTTTATTTACACTAGTATCTATTCATTATGGGTTTTTACCCAAAAAGTTCATACTTACTGTTCACGGAGCCCTTTGTTTTTCTATGGAAGTGGTCGTTCTTCTTCTTTGATCTATTAATGTGGTTTGAGTTTGTAGACTTCACAATATATGACCCACTGATATAAAAGGCCTGGTGTAAAAGTCGTAAGAATTACTTTAAACTGTAGCCGGGTGTGGTAGTGCCCGCCTGTAATCCCAGCACTCCGAAGGCTGAGGCGGGAGGATCACCATGAGTTTGAGGCCAGCCTGGGCTACATAGCTCAAGGGTGGCCTTACTACACAGTGAAACCCCAAAAGTAAACTATGTACCTCATATACTAGTTGAGGTTTTTGCATAGATTCTTGATTACTTTTGACTACTTCAAAATTCAAAGCGCACATTTGGGAACCTTAAATAATAAACTTTGTAAGTTTTTAAAAAGGGAAGAATTTTTAGAGTGCATGAAATAGAAAAAGCATTACTGTAATCCTCAGTGACTTTTAACACTGTCACACTTCCTTCACCTGTTAGTGTCATGTTTGTAGTACACGGTGACTACGGTCACTGTGGAAGTTGGTGTATGTACATATAACCCTCAGTGATTAGGAGATCATTGTGTGCTTGCATGACAGAGAATTTTTCCCTAAGAAGAAATACAGTTTTTATTATCTCACAGTAGGAGTTACTTGCTGGGTGGGGTGGCACATGCCTGTAATCCCAGTACTTGGGAGGCTGAGGCAGGACTGTTCCAAGTTCAAGACCAGCCTGGGCTATATAGTGAGTGCAAGGACAGCCTGAACTACAGAGCAAGACCCTGTCTCAAAAACAAATACGCTGTAAGCATAAGCAGTCTAGATCTATCAGTAATCATGCAGCCCCCCACCCTGATTACAGAACTGCTTACACGAGATGTTTTCCTCTTCACAGGTTCAGTTTAACTTGCAGTTTACAAAACCAAGTACATCACTAGGGGAGACTCACTCGGGAGCAGCAGCAGTTCCATGCTCAACTGACAAGGAGAAGTGAGTACTCACCGACAGGATATAATGCTTGTGGTTTTAGAGATCCTAAGAATTTTTATCCTTTTTTGTATAGTTCTGCACATCTTTATAGAGCCGTGATGTCTTTTGCACCGTACACCCTGTTTATACAGTACCGTAATTTTGCTGATTGTACTGTGCCGTACACTACTGTAGTTTTCTGTTCTGGTAACAGTACTTGCATGTCAGAGTTATCCAAATAAAAGCAAAGTCATCAAGTTAGAGACGCCTTTGAGCATTTCTTTGTTCTGAACATTGTGATACATATACTGTACACAGTTCCTCATTTATGACCGACTCAATGAATGACCTTAGTTGGGGAGTGGACTTCTGTCATTAAACGAGGAGAGTCTGTACTTCACGGACGACGAACACCAACAGCAGTTTTCCTAGCACAAAGTGACGCTCATATTTGCAGTCCACAATCGTCTGATAACAAAAGTGTTGTTCGATTAGAATTTTTGTTTACAGTTTGTTCCCTTGTTGTCAGCTAACGAAAAGTACAGTGACTGTCAAAAAAGATAAAGTTATAATTGAAAAAATACCTCTTCACTCGTCTATTTTCTGAACAGTGGGGAAAGACTCGGCAGTTAGGGTTACGGCTGTAACACCGTTGGGGAGACCCTTCACGACTGACTGCCGACGCGCTGCTGGGGAAGTTGCTGGCGCTCGCGTAGATTGAGAAAGGAAGGACGTGTGGTAGAAAGGGGTACAATACAGACCTGTCCATTTTCCTTTACACTGTCTATTAATGTGATAAATATCATGTATTAATATGATATATGACAGTGATCACTTTGAGTCACTAAAATTTTTCAAGAACTTTTGCTCAAAGGAAAAAGAAATCTTTTTTTTTTTTTTTTTTGGTTTTTCTCTGGTACCGGGAACCGAACTCACGACCTTGCGCTTGCCAGGCAGGCGCTTTGCCGCTGAGCTAAATCCCCAGCCCCTTAAGAAATCTTGTTCTAAGTATAGGATGAAAGAGAATTAACTAAATAATGGTACTCTCCAGCCATATACTAAATATTTTTCTTTCGCATGTCTCACTTATGTGGTGGTTAAGCCTTGGGAAACTCGCATTTCCCCCACTGCCCTTGTCCCACGGTGGAGGACCGTCTGGTTGTGTACAAGCTATACTCGCCTAGGGAGCTAGTGAGGTGTGTGATCTGAGCCCAGTTAACCTGTATGCTTTAGTTCTATTACTTTGCTCTCAGTCCTGAGGCGCAGACCCGGAGCCCGGAGCCCTCTGGGCAGGCACCCGCCCCTGAGCCCCCCGCCAGCCCAGTGCTCATGGAGAGTACAAGTCAAGTAGCCCCTACCCAAGAGTTTCACAGCACAAGCTCCAGATTTTGGAAGTTTTTGGATTTTGCAATATTTGCACATACATGATGAGGTATTTTAGGGATGGGGCCCTAAGCCTAAGCACAAAGTTTATCCATGTTTCTTATGTACAGAGGTTGAAGTTACTTCATGTAGTATTTCTAGGTTGCCGACATTTTCCTACGCCCCGTCACATGAGGTGGTGTGGAGCTCGCTTGGTGAACGTGCTGCTGCTCAGTCAAGTCTCGGGTTCTTGGGCTAGAGACATCCCGCTTCCGTGTCTGTGTGTGTTACACAAGCCTTCGGAAGGAACTCAGAAAATCAGACTTCAAAAGAGAGTAATTACTGTTTTTCTTTCAAGTGGTGAAAATTCAGGGCTGGAATCCAAATATTTGAAGAAAAGAGAAGATAGCATTCCTTTGCGTGGGCTCAGCCAGAATCTATTTAGTAATGCAGGTGAGAAGACACTTCTGAACTGGATTTTATACAGCGTGGCTTAATTAGATGTAGAGATGTAGTAACAATAACCATTTCTGTCCTCGTGTGCAGAGCATCAGAAAGACGGCACTCTCGGAGCGTCGCAGGCCGCTTCCAAACCCACAGCGTTCCCGTCCGCGTCTTCGGCCTATTTCCCCGGACAGCTGTCAAGCAGTTAGTTCGAGCTCTCTTTCATGCATTTACGGGCATTAGAGACTCAGGGGGTTTAAAAATCCTACGAGAAGGCCAATCCTGGGCAGGCAAGTTTCGAGCATTGCTCGAGCTACTGCGGCTAGATTGGGCCCCTTACAGCACAGGTCACTGTACAGGAACAAGTGTGTACCTGGGAGCTGAGCATCTGTGATGATTTCTGGGTCTCTGCGTCAGTAATATGAATTTCACTAAGGAGTTATCAGTCCTTACCAAGGATGTTCTAATCATACTGAAAACCTGAGTAAACTGAAACCTGCTCAGAAAATGGAAACCAAAGAGTGCTAATAATGCATTGTACCAGTTTCACGGGTACCGTCCATTCAAGTTGCCACCTGACAATTATGAGGGGAATGACTTGCCTCCTAAGAGTCTCCAGTTTTTGTTCTTCTATTAAAGGGCAAAGTCCTAATGCTACCTTATGTGACTGAAGTTGAGTTAAACCTTCATAGCAAGAAATACAAGTACTTTCCTTGAAACATTTATGTTAGCTATTGGGTCTGTTAACTTTTTATATACTTACACAAATAAACTGGACACTGTTTATATGACCAGGTTAGGTGTAAAGTGTTTTAGTCATGTGAGCGGAAGTTTGCAGGATTTGAATACTTCTTGAATAGTTTACACTCATCTAATTTTTCTCAATTTGGAACTTTATGGTTTCATCATTTTATATCCATGGAATTTTGTTTTAAAAATTGGAACTTTATAGAATCTTTAATGTAAGAGTATCATGAGTATTCATTGTACTTGTTTTTATACCAGTATTTGGATTCCTTTAATGTGTACTTAATAAAGTAAGGCAAAAGAACTATTTCTTCTCTTCCCTATTACTAAAAATCTCAATTAAAAACTGTTCCTTGAGACAAAATGCTTGTATTCATCCAGAATCATAGGACCCCATTTCACTTATTCACACTCAGAATACAGCAGCACTATCTTTGAGAGCCCGCTCTATCAATTTTTGTTTGCAAAGTGCTAATGCTTGTGATCATTTAAAAATTATTTTTAGATACTTTACAAAGATGAAGAAAAAGACGTTTCAAGGTGATACACCAACATTCCTTGATTTATGTTAAGACAAAGAATCTTTGCTGTTTTTTGTTCTGTTTTTAAATAGCGCTATCTTCAGTCCTATACTTTGAAACTGTTGGTAACAGCTATCTACTAGGGGTCTAGTCACAAAATTGAGTAACTAGTATTACACACTGACTTTTCTCTCTTAAATACACCATACTATAAGAATAGTAACAATAACTTGAAAGCATGTATTCCGGAAAGAAGTCTCTTGGCAACACGGGAACCTGCTTTGCTGTAAATACACTGTAACATGTATATGTATTATATATATACAACACAGGGTTTGCATGGAATATGTGACATACTGCTAGCTTTAAAAATTATATGCATAGAGATCCCTTTCCATATACACACAGAAAATTCAATTTTGAAGTTATTGTAACGTCAACCTATTAGAGATTGTTTTGTATTAAATATGTATATATAGACTTCTGTGTGCTAATTCTTTGCCCTACCTCTTAAAATTTCAATTGAAATTGTTTTCCAGTGTGTAACTGTACATGTGTTAATAATCAAATGTCATCTTTAACATTATTTCTGAGTTTTGTTAATAAAGTTACTAAAATACATTGGGATTATGACATGAAAAAGTCTTTTAAAAAGCCTGTATAACCCAGTTACTGAGAGGAGGCTGAGGCAGGTAGCATTTCGAGATGCCGAGCAACTTAGCCGGACCCTGGTACGGCACTTACGTAGCAGGCGGGGGCGCTGGGTCCAAGCCCTAGTGCTGCAGAGCCTGAACGTGAAAGAGACAGGCCTGAGCTGGCCTAGTGTACACCGTCTGCACTTGCTTTTCTGTAAGAGCATTTTTCGTCGTTGTTGTTGTTGTTTCTGTTTTTTTTTCCGGTACCAGGACTTGAACTCACGACCTTGCCAGGCAGGCGCTGTGCTGCTGAGCTAAATCCCCAGCCGGGTAAGAGTGTTTTACAGTGCGGGAGAAACGGAACTGAGCAGACACTGCATCACCTGCAAACAACTACGGTAATACAGCCAAACCAGCTCCTCGAGTAGCGATTCACAGAGCAAGACTTTTTTTATAAAAATCATTAAAATATTTAATTTTATTAACAGAATATTTACATTTTTATGACCTTATTTAACCAGTGAGTGTTCCAAGTTTAAAAAGCTTTAGGCAATAACCACACACAAGATGAAAACAGTGTAAACTATACAATAAACTTTATGTACATTTTTTACAAAGTAACACTTTTAAATAATATAACTGGACACAAAAATATACACTTTAGAGAAATTCACATCAGTAATTGTATAAAGCTCTCTTCTAGGGTCCTGAAAATTTAGGACAAACATTAGCTCTGTAAATAAAGTGTTACTGTGACAGTCCTGAAAGGCCACTATATATATTTATCTACATATAGATATCACATTGATATTTTCAAGGCTACCAGCTGTACTATATAATTTTTAGATTACGTATTCAAGTGTTGAGGTTCTGATGATTATGCAAACAAACAAAAAAAAATAGTGGTATAAAGAAGTAACTAGGGAACAAATCCGAGCCTGCATTTATGGAATAGGCTCTCACCACCCTAATTTAAATTCTACATGGCTGATATTTCCTCACTCCAAAAACAGTAGCGAGTATGTTTAAAATAAAATTACTGCAAACAAGCTTGAAGCATGATTCAGATTTAGTACAATTTTCTTAAATTTTCTGTTTAATGCAAACAATTCATTTACCATTTATTTTAGTGCATCTGCATTAAGGCTTTGAATTATTTGATCCAAGATTTTACAATATTAAAATCGGACTCAGGATTTTACAGTGTTAAAAAGGAACAGGTTCACAATCATAATACCTACTCAGTCTCACTGAGTCAGCGCAGAGTTAAAGCTCAACACCTTCAGGAAATGGTAGCAGAGAAATATACGCTAATATCTACGAAGTTACATATATACTTTTCAACTAAAGGATGTATAATAAAACCGTTTAGTGGCAAGAAAGTGGTGCTAATAAACGAAAGAAATGGTAACATCTTTGGAAAACTGTCCAGTTCTCTTAGTTCCTTCTTTAGTCCCCGTGGAGTTCATGCAGATACATCTCTTGAGCAATCCTAAAGTACGCTGCAGATGGAAATGGAATGTACATCCAGAACTACGGTGAAAACTGAGACCTGGGTGCTGACAGCAAAGTCCTCCTGACGCGGTCGTCACACGTTCGTGTCCTGGAGTAGAGGTTCTTTGGCCTCCCCCGGCGCCTGCGTGCTGTGCGGGTGGCTGTGACCGCCGCAGTGCTTTCTCCAGCTGCTGGACCGTAAGCTTAGGTTGGTGTGTTCGGGAATAAACAAGGCAACAAGCAGAGCCAGCAGTACCGAACAGGCTCCGAAAAGGAAGGGAGGCCCCGGGATGATGGAGTTCTGAGGATGAGAAGAGATCATCAGGGTTTCTGCACAGACGCACCTGTCCATAAGAATCAACTAACTGTTGTGAATTACAAGCCACTGATTTTACTAACGCCATGGTTACACGCATTCCCTTCTCTGGAGAAAGGGGATGTTCCCTGTCAACGTAAAACTCTGGAAATAAGGACTGCTAACACAATCCTCAGAAAAGGAAGGACAGGGTTACCATTTGCTCCGGCTATCCCACTGCGCAGGCATCCCTAAGTAACTCAGGTCAGGGACGTTCACCGCGGCACAGCACCAGCCCGGGCGCCCGCCAAGGGACACAGAAAATACATGCTCGTGGAGTATTAATTCAGTTGTGAAAAACAGAACTGTCATTTGCAAGAGAAAAGATAGAAACGGAGAGCGTCATCCAGAAGGGCAAGTGCTCGTGTTCTCCGTAATAGGTGGCATCTGAAACGACGACACGAGCGTGGAGACCGCTGTCAGACAGCGAGGGGATGGGGCGGACACGGTCAAACTGCGTACACCGAAACTTCCTCTGTACAATTAACAGGTGGCAACCTACGCGGGACCCTCCCGCATCGAAGGAGCTTTCCTAATCCCCATTCCTTTCCCCAGTAAATTTTCCTACTCTTAAAAAAATAAAACATCAATAATAGCACCAAAGACACTAGAAAATGAAAAGGAACTAGCAAAACAGCTGGCACAGAAATACTGTATCATCACTTTTAGCACAAAATCTGCAATGAGGTGTCAATGCCTTAGTTTGACAGCACTGCAGGAAAGCATACAGTGTTAATCCCAGAAGTAAAGTCAACTATCATTTCATGTGGTTTGAAAAGGAAATTATATGCAGGAGGTAAGATCAACATTTAAAAAAATCAACAGCTTCTCTATACACCAACAGCGAACTAGCCAGGAAATCAAAAACAGTTCCATTCACAATAGCTTCAATAAAATACTCAGGGATCAATCTAACAAAGGAGGTGAAAGATCTGTACAGTAAAAATGACAGGGAAGACCAACACTGAAGACAACAGCAGCTAGAAAGGCCTCCCACGTCCACAGATCAGCACAATTAATATTGTTTAGATGGCCGCATGTTACCAGAAGTGACCTGCAGAGTCAATGCAATCTCTATCAAAACACCAATATCCTTTACAGTACTAGAAAAAACAATCCTAAAACTCATGGAAACACAAAAGATGTAGAACACTCCAAGCAATCCTGAGGAAAAAGCAAGACGTGGTACTGCAATACCCAACGACGCTAAAATCCCACAGCATGGGACAGGCATGGTGGCCACGCCCACGGCGCCAGCGCTGGAGAGGCTGAGGCGGGATGACCACTGAGAGTGTAAGGCCAGCCTGGGCTACACAGTGAGACGGTATCTTAAAAAAAAGGAACAAAAAGGCCAGCACGATAGTGGCACCAAAACACACACACAGACCAGTGTAACAGAACAGAGGACACAGAAAAAGCAAGTATGGCTATGTGATTCAGACAAAAGCCAAAACACAAACCGGAGAAGAGACAACTGTCTCTACTGATCAGTGCTGAGGAAGCTGGATATCCACTTGTGGAAGACCGCAGACAGGTCCTACCTGTGAAGCTACAAAGACTAATTCAGATGGATCAGAGACCGGGGTATACGACCTGAAACTGCTGCAACTGCCAGAAGAAAACAGCAGAAACACTTTAGGCACAGGGAGACACTTCAGACTCCAACAGCACAGGAAATAATAGCAAGAATCAAGTCGGACTACATCAAATTAAAGTTTGTTCATGGGAAGGGCAGTAACAATGGAGAACCTATGGATGGGAGATACTCTTGAGAGAGGATTAAGATATAAAGGAAAAACCCTAAAAATCAAACAGCCCACTCAGTAAGAGAGCGAGTGAACTGAAGAGACACTTTCAGACGCACACATGGCCAACGACTACGAAAAAAAGGTTCAACTTCTTTAGCCTTCAGAGGTTTTTCAACACTGAGATCCCACCTCCCCCCAGTCAGAATGGCTGTCATCAAGAATACAAAACCGACTGGGGATGCAGCTCAGGGGCACAGCGCCGCCTGGCTAGCACGAGGTCCTGAGTCCGATTCTTGGGACCAAAAAACAAATGCTGGTGAGGCTGAAGGAGGAAAAGAACCCTTCCTCACTGCTGCTAATCTAAGTCTGCGCAGCCACCACGGAACTCAGGGTGGAGGTTTCTCATAAAACAGAAAGAGCTGCCACTTCATCTAGCTCTGCCACCCCTCTATACACTGAAAGGAAGTCACCATATCCCAGGGACACCCGCACACCCATGGTTACTGTGACACAGCTCCTAACAGCCACGATCAGAAAACAGCCTCGCTGCCACCAACCGAAGAACGGACAAAGAGCGCGCGGTGCGGGTGCAGGACACAATGGAGTGCAGTTACGAGGAAGAACGGAACTGTCGTCTGCAGAATGGACGGCCCTGGAGACCGCCACGCTGAGGGAAGTGCGCCAGGCTCGGACAAGCACCAGTGCTCTCCCTGACGCGTGGGATCTAAACGATGACACGAGACTAGAAGGGCCTGAGAGGAGGAAGGGATAACGGGGCTGGACAGGACCAGGCCCACACACGGAAACCCGACGTGTTACTAGGCATCGGTAATAACAAACATTTCAAGCTGTCAAAATAATTCTGAATCGACTAACAGTTAAAGAAAAAAGCACAATATTTAACCCCACATTATATTCACTCTTAGCAAAAAACTTGTATTTCCGGTTTGACTGGTGTGTAACACGTTCTTTTTTTTTTTTTACTCAGAAGTAGGCTTAGCTGGTTTTAACATTAATGTGGAATTCTAAGTAAGCCAGAAAACGATGCGTGTGTATTCACCTCAATGATTAACGCTGTCTGGCATTAACACTTTCAGTTACAAGGACAAAGTAAAGCAAACAAGTGAACGGAGACCCAGAACGCACACTGCACGAGGCAGCTGACCAGGGAGCTCGGAAGAGCCTCACCCGAGACACACAGTGCGCAGAGAGGCAGTCGGCATACACTGCTGGATGGAGTGTGACGAATTACACAAGTGTTTCCTTCTTAGTAATAAAAGACTGGACAGCCATTTCCCAGGGAGGTACACAGGAGGACACAGCTCCCTTAGACTTCGCTGCGTTTTGTTTCTACCCCTCCATTTTCTGTTTTCATAGACTTTGGCTGTGAAGTGTTTTACTCAGTCCAAAGTAATTTCACGACCATAAACATCATCGTGAACTACACAACTTCATGTGCACGAGGAGTTACCTGTTCGAAGTGGTGCTGAGGGCTTGTGTTTGTCCCCAGGTCCGTCCCTGTTATCGGCAGTTCCTTAAGCTCCACATGGAATATGTAGAAAATGAACCCGTACAGGGCTGGCCCCAGGCCATTGCACAGGCCTCGAATTCCCGTTATCATGCCTTGCACCACACCTGTGTTCACAGAAGTCGTTTAGCATACTACGCGTACCTTCTACTCTCAGGACGAGTGCAAATGTGCCTCAACATGAAATCAAGGCTTCAAGCAGACCCTGGCAGTGAAACGACTCGGAGGCCACCAGCTCCACGGAGTGCGCCCTCTGACACCCACCCCTGCGTACGGGCTGCACAAAGAAACAACTACGTAAAAACTTCCTCGGGTAGGACCCAGCCGTGCGTTCCCCAGTCCAACTCTCACCTTCCCTAGAGACTGCTATACTAAAGACGCCTTCCGTCAGATGCAGATAGTGCTGCTGAGTTTGTCTGTGTCCCTGGGATTTTCTCTCCAATTTAAAATGCAACTTGCTTTTTGGTCTTCCTGGTTTTCTAAGTCACCACTGCCATTCTTTTGCAAAACCTGTTCCTTTCCTTCTGACTTAAAAAAAATCCTAGCTTTTTCAAAGACGTGCCTCCTCTGTTAGCGGTCCAATAATTAAATGTTCCTATCACAAAATCCTACGACTTTTATGTTTGTTGTATGTCTTTAGATAACTAAAACTATAACATTTAAGACTTTGATGAAAGGACTATGAATGCATCCCAAACTGTGTAACAGAGCAGACAATACATGTTTAATGAAACTGTTACTAAATTTCTTAACAGGGCCACATACTCAAAGTGAGAGACAAGGGAATGTATACCCAGCTAGATCTGCTCTTCTTGCTTACCACTGATAGCAATTTTAAGATTCTCTACCGTAAAGACGCAGATTTCAGTACTTGTGCGCAGTACAGAGAAAACAGAATTAGAACTTTCTGTGCTTTGCAGTAATTATCACTGGCTCCTGCCAACTCACCCTGTTGATCAGCATCAGCAGTCCGTGAAACCAGTGCACTAACAGCGGGAAAGGTAATGCTAGACATGGCCGCTACTGCCCCCGCAGCCCACATCATCCTGTAATCAAAGAGGCAAAACAAGAAAACGAATGCTTCTTTCCCACAGCACCTACCAAAGCCTACCGACTTCTAATCAAGTCGCACTCACTGTAAAATGGCTGCGGGACTTCGAAGGTCTAACCCTGTTATTCTCAAAAAGAACGACTACTTACTCACAATTCAAAAAGAATTCACAACTTATTCACAAATGTAAGTTTTTAATATGACACTGGGATATCATGTCAAACTGTGAAATGTCATGGGCCTTATTTCTGGAGGAAGTGGGGATAATAACGTACGGTACAGGTAAACATCAAAATGCTTCTAGACATGAAAAGCTCACAGGGGCTGGGGACGAGGCTCAGAGGTAGAGTTCTTGCCTTGCATGCATAAGGCCCTGGGTTTGATCCCCAGCACCACACACACACACACACACACACACACACACACACACACAGAAGAAGCTTGTAAAGTCTTCCAGGGAGGTCCTGATTTGGGGCAAGACATCACTGATAAATCTTTCAATTGTAGAGTACATAAACAAGATGCTCTTGCCCTGATGTTTAAAAAAAATGTTTTAAGCTGGACATGGTGGTGCACGCCTGTAATCCTAGCACTGGGAGGCTGAGGCAGGAGGATCACTGCGAGTTCAAGACCAGCCAGGGTTACAAAGTAAGCACAAGGCCAGCCTGAACTGCACAGCAAGACCCTGTCTCAAGAAGACAAAAAAATTTTTAAAAGTAAATGTTTTAGATCAGTTAAGCTGCGAGCACCTGTGTTAACAGCCTGGAAAACTCTGCCCAGCGAAACACCCCTGATGTTTCCCTACCCCCAAGTCCAAACAGAGACAAGGCGGTGGGGCTGGCTGCTTGGAGCTGAGCGCACACCAGGGAGCTCGGTCCACAGCACCGTGCCTAGCAGCGTGCGCGGGGCCCGGGCACCGTCTCACCCATCAGCTCCCTGCGGGCAGCCGGGCTGCAGCAGAAGCTGAGACCCAGCAGGAAGCCAGGGCCAGACAGAGGGGCTCAGCCCCTGCTCGCTGCTGTCAGCGAGGACGCCCACGAGAAACACGACAGCGCCCCCTGCCACCTGGCCGCTGTGTGCTCACGCCTCTCCTAGTCTCACAGCGACCTGTGTGCCCTGCAGACACCCAGCGCTCAGTAACGTCGTGGGAAGTTCAGCCCGTCGCTGAGCTGCAGCTGTCCCCGCTCCACCCCTGGCTGCTCTAGCAGAGAACTAGTGGGAGACCACACCGCGCACTGCTGAAGGAAGTGGCTGCGGAAGACACGGGCCGTGCCGTCCCTGGGAAGCAGATGGAGTGGCAAACACACAGTGAGGAAAGCGCGCATCGAAACAGTGACACCTACCACGGCTCGGAGCCGAATCCGTACCACGCCAGCTGCAGGATCTGAAATCCCAGGCCCAGCAGGATGGTGTTCTTATTTCCAATTGACCTCATAAGTAAACTCAAGACTATGGTCTGCGGAGGAAAAAACAAGGACACCAAAATAAAGTTTTTAAAAAGAAAGCCTCCTTCGCAGTCTCACCCTGCAACAGCACCATGACTACTTTTCTGCAGCTGGGCTTTGCAGCAGTAGTTGTCCTGAGCATGTGCGAGCTCAGGGCTCCAAGGCGCGTCAGGCGCTGGAAGACCCCTCTGTGCCAGCTGGCCGCTTGGGAAGGAAAGGCAAGGAAAGGCAAGGAAAGGCAAGGAAAGGCAAGGAAAGGCAAGGAAAGGCAAGGAAAGGCAAGGAAAGGCAAGGAAAGGCAAGGAAAAGCACCCTTCTGTTCACACAGCTCCAGGGTAAGTCAGAGAAGTGAAGCTTACACTGTATTCAGAACATTTCTACTGGGGACAATTAAATCAGATGTTAAAAACAGGCTTATAACGTGTTACTGATGATAGATCTCTGCTTGTAACAGCTTTAAAGAAGTGTTTTCTTTTTAGTTTTGGGGGTTTTACTTTTTGTTTGTTTGTTTTGAGACAGGGTCTCACTATGCAGCCTAAGCTGGCTTCAAACTCGGGGTGATCACCTTGCCTCAGCCTCTTGTGTGCTGGGATTACATGCGTGTGCTACCACACCTGGCTTTCGAAAGGTTTTATACGTCAAAGTTAGTCCACAATGCTTATCCGTGATTTCTGAGCTTGTGTCTGATTTATCTCACTTAGCACTATGGTCTCAAGAGATACCCATTTCCCTACAATTCACTCAGATGTTCCCTACTCCATGGCTGACTATATATATATAATATATATACGTAACATCACATCACACGTTTTCTTTCATGTTTATCTCAACAGGGAATAAATCACTTGCAACAGCATACTTTTGAGGCTACCTATATAGTAGTATAGTAAATCATGACATAAAATGAAATTATCAGTATTTACATGCACATTATACTCTTCCATTCACTTGTTTTTGAAGGCCAACTAATCTACTTTTAATGTGATCGTTCTCTTAGAGATGGTTCCTAGGTGAGCACTGGCACCAAACGCCGTGTCAGGGGCTCCCCTAGCCGCAGCCTGGGGCCTGCACACGTCTGCTGGGCCAGCGGTGCGGGGGAAGTGTGGCCTGCTCCTTCCCAGGCTCACCAGCGGGGTCTGTGCAGGGCCGGGCCAGCCACGCCCGCTGGTCTACGCACACATCTCCCCGCGGGACGTGTGCCCTCGAGAGACTGCTCCTCCGCATCCCACACGCACATACAGAGGCCAAGTCCCTGTGAACAGCCTCAGCTCATCTCTGTGCAGTGCTGCCGCCTGGCTTTGCTAGGTGCGTACCGCTGCTACGACTGGCTAAGTACGGTACACATGAGATGGGATGTAAGAGCACCGCGGTCCGTCTCTCTGAGGTCCCACTGGGACGGCCAGCCGAGGTCACTATGACTCACCCTACCAAAAACGGAGCTCACCTGCGCGATAATGGAAAGGATGCCGAGGACCGCTATGAACGCCGCAACACTTTCCGGTGAAAATTTCATTATCTAGGTTTCCAGAACAAATAAAATTACTGAATGAAAAGGCATAAAAAAGTACCATACTAATGCAGCTACTTGTACATCAACATTAAATGGACCCACCCAAAAAATTTATAAACGAAGTTTTAATATGTAACTCATTTAATTCAATTTTTAATTCACTAAAAAAATTCTTTAGATGAAATACAATGAGTCAACACTAAAAATACCTATTTCTATGTTAGTTCTCTTAATCTGGTCACACTAAGTTGGAGAGCGGTCAAGCATTCGGAATCATTTTGCAGAGAAATGCTGTACACCGCTGCTACACTGCTTTGTAGAGGGATCTATGAAACACTCAATTTCCGCCTCGCAGGCCCAGTGTGAGGAGCAGAAAACTTGGCTGTGCTCTCCTTTGGGCTAGCTGCCCTCCCACGTAGCTTCTAAGTGAGAGAGACTAGAGGAGATGAACAGGCTGGGTTAAGGCACCCTAGGACCCAAGAAGCAACACAGAAACTCAAGCTGCTTGTCTTGGTAAGGAAAACTTTTGCCTAAGCCAAAATCTTATTAAGAAAGGAGTAAGAAGTATCAGGCACCCTGAACAAGAGGTTAAGTCTAGTAGACGGTTGTTTACAAAATGTACTGATCTTAATGTTCCCTGCTGATTACAGCTCTCCCAAGATAAATGTTTTTCTTGTGGCACTACGTAATGAAAGAAAAGGTCGCTTTGTGAGCACATGACCTTACCTGTCTGAGGTATAAGAAGAAGCTGGAGTACTGGCCGGCCTCCGGCAGGTAGGAGAGGAACACCGTGATGCAGATGAGCAGCACGATCGAGTCCTGGCCCACTTTCTTTAAAGACTAGAACAAGAAAAAGGCCGACATAAGGTCTTTCTTCCCTTTGCTACTGTACACAGACAACTAGCTGCCTTTTATAATGTATTTCGTTTCCCCAAATACCCGAGTAAGTATTTCAAAAGTTGTGGGGGAATGTATTGCAAAATACTAACACTGCAATCAGTCATGTACTTTTTTCTGTCTTTTCTTCTTGCCAAAGAGAACCAAAAAACTTACTGCAAAAGGGTCGGCCTGTTCCCAGGAAATGGGCGCGCCCCACGACGCCGGCCGCATCTTCTCGGGCAGTGACTCGGGCACCGCGACAAGAATGAAGCAAATGTCGAGCAAGGCTATTGCTGTAGCGAGGACCACCACTAAGCTGTCTCCATACGCCCGCCCGAGGTACGCTCCGATCGCAGGGCTGGTGACCAGACTGGCAGCAAATGTTGCTGAAACCTGCAACCAGTGAAGGACAGAGAGGAAGAGCTAGCTAGGGGACCTTGGCTACTTCACCTTAACCACATCACTCCTTTCACAATCCTGTTTATGCCAGAGCCGCTACTGCAGCATCCCGGTACGTGTACCACTTTTCTTGTACTCTACTTTGCAGGATGATAAAAGGATTAGATAGTTATCTAAAATATATGTACTAGCCTCTGAGGACAATAGATTCCAACTTTCCTTGAGACAGTGTCTCACTGTGTGGTCCAGGCTGACCTCAAACTCGCAGCGATCCTCCTGCCTCAGCCTCACAAGTGCCAGGATTACAGGCGTGCGCCACCACATCAGGCAGGCCCAACTTTCTTGTAAGCCTTGAAGCCTGCTGTGCAAATGAATCCTACTGGAAAATTTATATGTAAAACAGATGTCAGAGAAGAAAAAATATGTATTTTAGTTGAGGAAAAGCTGGGGCCTCGAGCACTATCCAAACACTCACTTCCTGTCAGCACTCTAGTCCTTAGGACACCACCGCCAATTCTTACTCCTCTTCAAGAAAGGAGTCCTGCCAGGAGTGGTGGCGCACGCCTGTAATCCCAGCACTCGGGAGGCTGAGGCAGGAGGATAGTTGCGAGTTCAAGACCAGCCTGGGCTACAAAGTCAGCTCAAGGCCAGCCTGAACTGCATAGCGAGACGCTGTCTCAAAAAGACAAGAAAAAAAAAGAAAGGAGTCTAGGGCCAGGGTTGTAGCTCAGCGGCACAAGCGCCTGCCTGACAAGCACAAGGTCCTGAGTTTGATTCCCTGTACAAAAAAAGAAAAGAAAGAAAGGAGTCTAAACGCTACTGCTGTGCTGTCTACTCAGGGACAGCTGAAGCAGAGACTCTGAGCGCTCTCCCCCGCTCCTCACCAGGAACGGCCACCCGGGGCCCGGCAGGCTGGGTGTGGCTGTGCTCTGAGCACGGGAGGTGGGGCAGGAGGGGCACCTGAGCAGGGTGTTTCTCACCGCAGCAGGCGGGTAGCAAACCACAAAGCAGTCTCAAAAAGGAAATAATGACAATAATCGTGTTAGGCCCCGGTACAGAACTACAGCTTATTGCGGGGTCCCAATGCGATGGGAGGCCGGAGAGAAAACGCTACAAAAAATGGCTTTCGCCCCAGACGGCTCACTTGATTTCTGACAACCCTTAGGCTGTAATTACTTGTTAGATCCTTCTTGCGTATCTACGTCTTCCTGAGAAACCACTTTGAAGGTACCTCCATGTATTACAGCAGCCATTGATATTTTCCTACTAATGTGTCCATAACTCTGTAATGTTTGTATTGTTCCTATGCTATTTCGTAAATGGATGCATGTTTATTATTATGTGTTTCCTACAACAACCATTGAGAATAGTCAGTGATTATTCAATTGGTCACTCATGTATAGCTCTATTTATGTTCTTTAGAAGCCACTTTGAAGATACCAAACCAAAGTATAGTACAGAAGCTATTGATAATCTCCTACCTCTTTTGTCTCTAACTCACTATTATCTGTCTATTTGTTTTCCTGAGAAACTGCCTTGTAGATAACAGTATGTAAAATAACCATTGATAATTTCCTACCACTTCATCTGTAATTTGGTAAGCCCCCCCTATTATTGTTATCCTTCTTTTACTCTTTAAAAAACAAAAAACTCCGTAAGGTAAAACATACTTCAAGTTCCATTCTGACATGTGACTTATAGGATAGTTTAATGGATAACTTTACATCTGATGTATATTTTTATGCAAAAAATAAAACTTGTACTGCAAGGTTTGCCTTCTTATAAGGTATACTTCTAAACAAGGTGTTTCTCAATCACAAAGGTGTAGGATAAACGTACATACCAAGCCGTAAGCCATACTTCTTTCATGCTCTTGGGTTATATCTGCTACATACGCAAATACCACCGAGAAAGTAACTGCGAAGACCCCAGAAACAGAGATGACAGCAAAGTACCACCTAACAATAAAAGACAATTGACAAGAAATATTAGAACAGCTGCCATTACTTGCACTTTCCTTCATTTCTATTAGCTAATTAGAGTAAGACTAATTTTAGTCAAGAGCTTTCTAAGACAGTTCACAGATCAACACTTCCATAAATCCTAAGTCACAGATACAGGAAAAACGTGGGTATAAGAAGTGGTCCTTTCCTTTCATCAGGAACACAGCATTTCAAAGAAAATAATGTGTTCACATAAATCTTTTACACAACTACTCAAGTGTTAAGTGGCTTTGTTGTTTCTACTAAATACACCACCAAAATAAAATCTTTGACACTTCGCTTATTCCTATTTTCCTCCACAGTACTACACAAAGCAAAATTCAACACACAGTTACTTCATATTTATTTTGGGCCTATCTACAGAAACTAAATGTTTTCTGTAAATTATCTTCAGCTCTTCAGATGTTGGCAAACTCAGTCCTCACACCGAAGGAACCTGAGCAGCAGTGCTCGTAAGGCTGACAACAGTCGCTACAAAGAATGAATATTTTAAAAAGTAAACTGTATTTTACTATAGATGATTCCAAAATATTGGCTGGGAGTAAGAAGTTTGTATTCTAATGATGTTTAGTTTTGTAACATCACATGTAATCCAAATGAACTTTCGAAATCTCATTCCACCAGCCTTTATCATTATAAAAATTTTTAGCACAGTTTTCCAAAGCGGTCTCCGCACATTTCCTAACTCCTTTGGTAGGATTCCAACTGCACAATCTCACCCGTCAGAGGAGACCCTGCCCCATCTGCCTCCCAGGTTTTCTGGACACAAAGTGGAAACAGTACAGTTCATCTGCGAAGCAAATTCACATTAGGGCTCCGTGGAGGAGGGGAGGTAACACGGAGAATAAGCCCAGTGCGCTACTCCGATGGCACGTTCGTTCTTTCTGGGATGCTGCTTCCTTTTCCTCCTAAGTTTGATCAGCGGCCCGAAGCCTAGTCTCGGAACTATGAGAAATAAATGCCTAAAACCTGACCAAAGAGATGCACACAGAGGCTGGATGGGAACCGTGCCAAGCTTCCTTGAGGAAAGCAGCACAGCAAGCCCTCGTGCCCGAGCAGCCGTCTAGAGCAGGACCGACAGCTGAGGACGGCAGAGCGGCGAGACGGAGGCCTGCTGCCCGGACTGCGGCCCCAGCCCCGGCCGGCTGCACTGCAGACTCTCCGCGTGGACAGAGGAATGAACTGCCTCGACTTTAGACAACTATTAATTTGGGCTGTGCTGACAGCACTAAAACCTACTGCTAATTAGTATAAACAATGGGAAAGTAGAACGTCAGCAACTCTACCCAGTCCCTGACACGCGCTCTGAAACCCAATAGCAGGTACGCCGTTGGTCTACATGTTTCCAACAGGAGCACCCGGTTTTAAACCTTTCTTAGGCAGTACATTTTAGGGGCCTTATCTGTGTTAAAGAACAAACTTATCAGAATAAAAACTAAACTCTATGTAGATAAGTTGGCAAGAAAAATGCAAGAAATAAAACATTAGGAACGCAATTCACAGAAAATGGTTTTACTGCTGTAATCTGAATATGCACATACCAGGGGCTGATCTTCATTAAAGGAATTGGGGCACATGTGAAAAACACCGTTAGCAGCAAGAAGGATTTTCGGCCCCAAACATCAGAAAGAGCACCAATCAGTGGGGCGCTGAGGAATGACAACAAACCCTAAAATAAAATTTAAGTAGAATCAAGGACGCCGTACATCTAGGAGCCAAAAGTAAATCATTTTACTATCATAATTTTAAATAAATCTGTTTCTAAAGTAAATAAATTTGAATAAATAACTTACTTGTCTACATACACTTTAAAAGTTTCAGGCTAGAAATACCTGCAGGGCTCTTGCTGGGTATTAAATACGAAATGCTCTAATGAGTTCGCTATCACAGTAACTCTGCATTAGCAGTTTTAGAAAGACTATCATCTGCTAACTGCCCATTTTATATTGATAAGCTACTTATTTTAATAGTAGTAGACATTTATAAAAAATGTATTTAATAACCAACACTTTACCACGCTGTTACAAATTTGCACTTACAGTTTTTTAGGACATAGTTTTCTTTTTTCCAATCTATATTCTCAGCTTATAAAGCACTAAGACCTCTGGAATCATGTGAACGCAAAACAGAAGAAATACGTGATTTATTATACACAGCTGGCAATATCTGATTCAAATCGTATTTAAAACCCAGTTAGCCCAAGGTATTATATAATCCCCCACACTACAGTCTAATTATAAAACTGGACATTTAATGGTTTACTCATTTAATTTAATAATACTGGCAGAATTACACATATATAAATATGTACATATAAACACGTATAACTCACCTTTACTCCTTGAATTAAGCCATTCATCAGAAATGTGTGTTTAGGGAAGGTTTCATGTAATACCTAAAGAATAAAAACCAAAATAAAAACGACATGCTACCTTTTAGTCTCAGTAAAATTTCTACATTTACATGTCAAATATCCCTTAATATAACCCAATTTTACTCCATACAAATTTATGTGTATGACACTATGCATGCGTATGTGTGAAGGCTAACAGTACCTGGTATCTATATGGCGTTTACTATGTTACAGGGCACTAACCTGGGAGCTTTACACACACTATCGTTTAACTTCCCAACAAGTCTGTCACGAATAGTACAAGCACAGGTGTAAGGCTGTCACGACCCCAACCGCAAGGCAGGCAGGGGACAGGCTCCAAAGTCTACGCCAGGTGCCCCGCTGCGTCAGCCCGAGCGGGGCGCTCTCTCCTGTCCGTGGGTTCATTATCTGGGATCCGAGACTAGGAGAGGGAAATTTTAACTACCAGAAATAAACATAGAAAGATTCCATAAAGAAAAAAACCCCAACCTATAAAATACATAATGAGTCACTCCTTCATCTCCACCGCCTGTTCTCAAACGACTGCCTCGATTTCATCACCAAGCAACAAGTGAACAAAGCGCTGGGAACTCAGGGGCTGAAAGAGTAACTGAAGGGAAGGACAACAGGAAAAATAAGCACACAGCAAGCACCCGTCCTTACGGCACGGAGCAGCGGCTTTGCGCAGGCTGTCTTAGAACAACACTGCAAGTCAGACCGAAGCGCAGCCGCACAGCTCAGGCGGCGGAGCTGCTACTCAGAACCCAATGCGTCCTCCACTACACAACACCGGCTTCCCAGAAGCAAGGGCAGCGAGGGCAGTGGGAAGCTCAGCGGGAAGAGCCTCTGCAGGGTTAGAACCGCTCCCTTTTCTTCAGTTACTCTTCCGCCAACACTAGAATTTTAACAAAATGTACTCACATTATGTAAAAATAAAGAAAATTAGCCGGGGATGTAGCTCAGTGGCATAAGCACCTGCCTGGCTAGCACAAGGTCCTGACTTTGATTCCCGGTACCAAAAAATAAAAAAATTTAAAAAAAAAAGAAGAAAATTATAGAGGACTAGGCATATATTTCAATAGTCAAGCACTTGCCTAGTATGGCAAGGCCCTGGGTTCAATCCCTAGTACCACAAAGAAAAAAATTAGAAATGCAATGTCAGTCAAAGAAAAGCATAACATGAGAAAAATCACATGTTTATGAAATTTATACTGTTTGCAGGAAGAGTGCCGTGAGTTCGAAGCTAGCCTGGACTACAGTGAGTTCAAGGCTAGCCTGCACTACAAAGCCAGGTCCTGTCTCAAATAAACTAATTAAAATAAAAAAAGAAAGGATCTACAGACAGTAAATAGTTCTTGCTTTTCTCAGCTTTGCAGGTTAGTCTCAGTCCAAGTACTCAACTCTGCCCTTGTAGGACAGAAATAGTCACAGAGTATATATAAATATATGAATGTACATGAGTGTCAACAAAATTGTATTCATAAAAACAGTCTGTGCAAGGCTGGGGATGTAATCCAGTGGCACAGCACCTGCCTGGCAAGTGCAAGGCCCTGGGTTCACCTCGGTACCAAAAAAGTCTGTGGGGGAAAAAAAGAAGCTTGTAAAAAGGAGTTGGTCCTCTGGCCATAGTTTGCCAGTCCTTGTTCTCACTGAAAAGATTTTAAATTCCTGAAACTGGTATTCCAAACTCTTTCACAGTCATCTATTTTTTTTCCCCAATTACTAAGGACCTATTCTAGGTACCAAGAACAGGCAGGACATTATAAAACATGCACGCCTGCAGTCCCAGCACTCGGAGGCTGAGCAGGACTGACGCAAGTTCGAGACCAGCCTGGGCTACAAAGTGAGCTCAAGGCCAGCCTGAACTGCATAGCGAGACCCTGTCTCAAAAAGACCCCCAAAAAAAGGCATAACGAATACCTACAAGAGGTTTACAACTTGCTAAATCACACGACCAAGGACCTACTTTGCCAGGCAATCTCTCACTCCAAACACTTCTCAATGCTTTAGAGACAGCTCTGTCTTCTGAAAGTCACTCGGGGACTACGGCGCTTGTCTGTGTGGATGTGGCTCCCATCGTCTACCCTACCCGCCTCCAGGCCTGTGGAACTGCCCCTCTGCTTCCAAACTTTCCTCTCTACAACAATTGTTCCTTTAAAACCAAGTAACTTATAACAACATTTTAACTAGAAATACAAAAATAACAAGTAATTCAATTGCGAAGATGTCTGATCTGTCACAATCTCTTCAGATTTGAATGAAAGATATTTTCTAAGAAATTTTATCAATCTTAAAATTTTTACGAACTTTGAAATTTTGAGAATAAGTAATCCCTACAACATTAAATGGCAGGGACTGCCTCTGTAGTAAAGGCGCACCCCGACAGGAGCGGTGCTGGCGTGTTTCAGGGTCTCACAGCGCCCGGCAGCCTGAACTGCAAACATCAGTGTACTATTTCTAGATTCACAGGTCTGTTTTAACAGTTAACAGACTTAAAAAAAAAAAAAAAAAAAAACAGTTAACAGACTTTTGCGGGGTTTTTTTGTTGTTTTTTTTTTGCTTTTTCTCCGGTACCGGGAATCCAACTCACAACCTTGCGGTTGCCAGGCAGGCACTGTGCCGCTGAGCTAAATTCCCAGCCCCAGTTAACACTTTTAAGAAAGAAAAATGCCATCAGTTGGTGCCTTCTTTTACCCCTAAACCCACCTTTCTGCACCTCCCAACCCCCCAGGGAGGGCAGTTATAAGAGTCCAAAGCAAAGATTACTATTAACAATGTTAATCTCTAAAAAGCCTCAAAATAAGCAAAGCCCACACTTAATATATTGTTCTTAGTTAATGATATTAACTTAGTATACAGCAGAATCACTTCTTAAAAAAAAATCATTTGCCTAGGCTTTACTTCTGAGTCTGATTTTGGCAGGACAGGTTTGAAGGCCCAGGTATTTTGAAAAAATTCCCCAGCATCACTGATACTCACTTCTTGTTACAAAACCACTGAGTTAATAAATTACACATTCTAACTGACTGACTGTCCATCCTGCTGGCTACCTCATCCTAAGGGGAAAGGTAAGGGCCACCATGAAGCCCCAGGCTCTTACGTAGCCCAGAAATGGAGGCAGGCTGTGGGAGAACTTTCATGTCCTACTTACTCATTTCTGCACTGCTTAATATTTTATAACAGCAGTCACTGGCCCTGGTTCCAAAAGGCAAGACGTGCATGTTATATATGAAGAAAGGCACGTACACACAGATTGAATGACCAAAGGTCAAAGGACCTGAAACAAACCTGCAGATAACCAACACAAATCCTCCGTATACCTTGAAGTAAACCGTTTCTGAATTATGTAGTGTCTACTGTAATGTAAATACTAAGTAACTGTTACACTACATTAGTGTGATGACATGAGAAAAGTCTGCACGTTTTAATATAAATCCAATTCTTTTTAAAGTATTTTCAATCTGAAGTTGGTTGAACCTGAGGACGTAGAACCTACAGATTCAGAGCACCAGCAGTACTCAGGCAAAAAATAAAGCTCTGATCTTCACACTTGGACTTTCTTCTGAGAAGATGCTTGATCTTAAAAATCTAACTAAAACAAGCCAGGTGTGGTGGCACACACCTGTAACCCCAGCACTCGAGAGGCTGACGCAGGAGGATCCCACAAATTCTAGGCCAGTCTGCACTACACGGTGAACTAAAGGCCAGCCTGAACAGCAGAGTGAGACCCTGACTCAATAAATAACAAAAACATTAAAAAACCAAAGAAGTGTGAACACAGTAATATTACAGGCAACCGTAGTAACCATAACTCATCATCTTAGTAACCATTTTAAAAATAAAGTATAAAGTTCAAACATAGAAATTAAGTGTAACTACTGTAACAATTATAGAAAACAAATTGGCAACAATGTTATAGCAGTTATTCCAAGAAATGCAGCACTTCCCACAAATTAGCACCTTTCATTTTCCTAATCAGAATCCAGTATTTTAGCCTGTAATCTTAGTACTGTGGGAGGATGAGGCAAGAGGATTATAAATCTGAGTCCAGTCTGGGCTGGACCTGTCTCAAAATAAAAAAGACCCTGTCTCAAAATAAAAGAAGAAAAAGGGCTGGGAAGGCAGCTCAGTGGGAAGGACATGGGTATAATAAGAAAAAAAAAAATAGTAATTAGTATGTTTAAAGCAAAAGCATAAAAAGGGGGTGGGGGTAATGAGGGCTGGAGGTGTGGGTTACGGGAGAGTGCTTGCCTTACACGTGTAAGGCCCTAGATCTGACCCTTAACACTGCCAGCCAACAAAAAATAAAGACACACGCACTCTTCATTTATGTAAATAACTAAGCATATACCAAGGATAAAGTTCTCCCGTGTCCATTAAAAATGAAACTCTTTTCCTTATTCTTAAAGGAAATAAATTTCTCTTCGTCCAACTGGTGGGAGACCTATCCCACGTTACACAAAAAGTTGACATATCTATACAGTAAAGCCAGACACAAAATTTTTAAGGAGGTATACACACTTCAAATGCTGATGACAAGTTATGGAAACATTACAAAAAGCCTTCTGAAAAGTTGCTAATAGCCGAGCAGTCCAAGAACCTCAACCATCTAAAATGTGAGTACCAACCAGTTAACGACCAGTACTCCCCAATGCCCTGAGCACCAGTCAAGCAAGCCTAGCTTGAAATTTCAAGGCTACACGGTAGCCGTAATCAGGTTTCTTAACTTTTGTAAGCCAAGGGAGCTATGAGGATTAAAAAAGAGAATGTACTGTTCAAACACCTGAAACCACAGCAGTGATAACCCACCAGCCAGACCCGCACGTTAGGCCGGTAGCAGATTACAAGCACACCAGAGCACCAGGGAAGCTAACAAACAATCCTGAGAGCGCGGAGTTACTAAGGAGCCTCAGGAGCCCCGCACAGGCGGCTGTGACAACATATCGAAGTTACGAGTGTCACAGCGATTCGCACCACGGTTCCAAATCACAGTATGTGGGTTACGAAGGCAGGAAATGTGTACATTAATTTCTGAAAGAGTTCCATCAGAAATTAGTAAACTAAAAAAATAACTGGCTAATTTGTAAGCCCACATCACAATTTTATTTTGAAAATTCATTTATGCAGAACTGGCGATCCATTACAGGTAAAGGAGCAGTGCTTCTTAAAAAGGAAAGGACCTCAGCCAAATACATTCAAAATGGCTTTTTGCTTTTGTGTGCGGTAGTGCGAGTGGAACCCAGCCCCTTCACACGGAGCTACACCCCAGTCCTCACCCCAGGGTTCTCACCATTATGTCCGTTTTTCAGGGACCTACTTCAACTTGCAACGCACAGTTTAATATAAAAATAATGGTGTTTATTTAAAGATTTCCTTTTCGGGGCTGGGGATTTAGCTCAGCGGCAAAAGCGCCTGCCTGGCATGCGCAAGGTCGTGAGTTCGGTTCCCAGTACCGGAGAAAAACCAAAAAAAAAAAAAAAAAAGATTTCCTTTTCTTCTGACTCTTAACAATACTCATAAATATGCCCTATGTACTCCTGTTATTTTACATGTACAGTAACAATTCTGTAACTGTAGGTAAATAGGCCAAGAAATATGGGTTGTAAATGTAGTTCAATCTACTTAAGTCATCCAGGTTTTGAAAAACACTTTTGTGAAAAAGCTTTTAAATAACAATGATCACACTCATGAATACATTACGTATATGACTTTAAAAGCTCTGTTTTCTAGGATTTCATAAGCTGTACATCTAAACTTCCTTTCAGCCAGGCATGGTGGTACATGCCTGTAAGGACTCAGGAAGCTGAAGCAGGAGGATTGTTTTGAGTTTGAGACCAGCCTGGGCCACAAAGTGAGCTCAGAGCCAGCCTGAACTGCATGGGGAGACCCTGTCTTAAAAAGGCCAATCAATCAATAAATCAATAAGCTTCCTCTCAAGATATTATGACCTTCTACCACAACTATCTGTCCCTCATTTAGCTCCCTTTATTTACACTGATAGAAAACTAGCCATCATCTGAGTCGTCTGGTTTGTTAGAGGTCTTTTCTAAGGTTCCAAACCTTAGAAAATGTTAAGTAAAAGCCAGCTCTACTCTTTCTAGACCTTTAGCACAAATGAAATTTCTGTTTGGAAAATGCAAGTGCAAATGAATCTCAAAATAATTACACCATATAATGTCAGTCGCAAACTTTTCTAAACCTGTGGTTTCAGAATCCTTTCACGCTGTCCAGAGTGGTGATTAAGCCTCTGCCTGAACTTGTCAGATGACACACTAAAACCAAACACTTCCACCACCACCCCACATACTTTTTAGTAAGGAAAAGGAAAAGGAAAAGGAAAAGGTTAGAACAGACAACTAAAGCAGTAAGACACAGGAAAGTACTGAAGAACTAAACCATGGAACAGGAAAAAAGAGGGAGCCAAAATCAGAGAAAAAGAAGTTTTAGAGTTAGTGATAAGTTAAAGATTACTTACCACCAAGGTGGGTGCCGTCAATAGTCCCCAAGCAAAAAACTCCAAAAAGATGACGATAACCGCATGATAGACACTGGGAGAACCTATTCCTTGAGGCTGCAAAAACAGATTTTTTAAAATGTTAAAAAGTGCATTCCAGAATTATTAAAATGACAATAACCAATATATACTTATTAAGAACATGCAGGCATGCCTCACTTTACACTGGAGATACGCAGTCCTAACTACCGCTGTTTGGGCTCTTCAATCAACCTGAGTAACATTTTCAGATCAGGACTTCCACGCAGGCAAGCAAACCTTACCTCTTCAGACCGTAGGCTTTCAAATACACTCAACAGCTTTCTGCAGAAATACCCCCAGTCTGGATATCGCTGCGTGCTGAATGATGCTTCCTCATTTTTAATACTGTCATAAAGCATCATCAACCTTTAAAGCAAGTGTCTCTCCTAATCTAGAGAATCTGGGTACCTGAACATCCCTTTACTACAGAAAATCCCTCCACTAAAATCCCTTTACTGCAACTGAGAAGCTTGAGAGGCGGGGGACAGCTGAGGGAATACAGCTGGGAATGAATTCATACAAGATCTCATTTATTTGGCAAATATTACAGAGCACCTATTACATACCAGACATTCCGAGGCTATAAAAACCACCAAGACTCACTCCAAGATCTCAAAATTCACAGCCTAAAGGAGATTACCTTATAATCATCTGCTTATATGTAAATACAATAAAAATACACAGATTAAGAATTGAGGAAAAAGTGTGGCAAAGAAGTAATGTGGATAAATGACATCAGAGAAAAACTATAAAGTAGACAAAGATCATGACCGGAGAACAAAGTCCCAGTCCTGGACTACAGAGGGAGGCAGAAAGGCAGCCTCAGACTTTACTAAGGAGTTTCTCATCTTTATACACACAGGAAGTCAGTAAAGGCTTTTCAGCTTTTCCTAAAGCATGCAATTGAGGAGCTGACTACCTGCAGAAGGAGGCTCTGAGTCAGTTCAAACAAGACATGGTGAGAGCAGGGAAGTGATACGATGCTAAAGGGAAGGAATGGATGGAAGCGTAAGCATTTGAAATCGACATGACTACAGATTATGAGGACAAATTAAGGATGACTTGCAAATTTTTAGGTTGGCTATCTGCTGATAGAATGCCAACGTTTTCCCCATGAGCCTTAAGTTTACTTTAGGGTCTAAGAAGACGTGCCCTTTACATAATACATTTCTACTATCTCTGAATTCTGATTAAAACAATAAACAGCAGATGTGATGTCTGCAATCACCAGAGCGCACGGTGAGGCATGAGGAAGATCTAAAGTGTAAAAGCAGTCCCTGAAACAAAGCCCCGAAGATCGCCAACACTTTAGTAGTAGGCAAAGAAAAGGAGCCCATGAGGAAGACTACAGAGAAAAAAAGAGAAGGAAGTATCGATACAGGGGTCCCAGATGACAAGGAACAGCTTCAGGAAGAAAAGGCTGATGACGGCCAGTTCTGAAAGAGGCGGGTACTGTAAGGTAACATCAGAAATGCTCACCGGACGCGCTAAGCTCCAGACCTATTTTGTTCACTACCACATATACCTAGCACCTGGCAGAAAGCCCAGAAGAATTTCCTGGGGTCTTTAACATGCTAATTTACATTATGAATTTCCAAGAAGATGATTTCCCAAATGACCAAGAAATCCTTGTTTCACATTAACGGATATCTTACGGGCCCTTGAGGTCCTTGGAGAAAAGTTGGGGAAACACAACCAGAAGGGGAGAGGTGGCAACATGTACACTTCATAGGCACGAGGCCCTGCATTCAGTCACTAGCATCTCCACACAAGACGATTATATTAAAATTATGTAAATATGTGCACAGAGCAAAATGGACACTAAGAAGATCACGTTAAAAGTGGTTCTGTTTAGGGGAACAGCACTGCATCAGTCCCAAAGAACATGAGGGAAGGGTTCCCAGAAGACAGCAGGTACCATCTGAACTAAGACCTCCAAAGTCCTGAGGGAAAGACATCAGCAGCGTCAGGTGTGTCCGGGGACGGCACAGGGTGATGACGGCCAAGAGGACCTGAGGTACTCGGGGCCCGACAGGCAAATGCCCGAGTATAGGAGACATCACTGCTTATTCCAGCCTCCAAGATCTGAGGAGGACAAGGGGCAGACCCACAGGAGGTGCTGCGGACACACTCACAAAGGCTAGTGTTCACACTTCCCTAAGGGATGAACAGGGGCTTCGGATTATCAGTATCTCCTTTTTGAGATTTCCCATTATCTCATTAGGGATGGGCCATCCTCTCCCACCCACTAAGACTAAACTAAAACCACTGAGATTAAAACACATGCCAGTTATGACCATTCACCTATAAAATTCTCAAGTTTATCTTTCTTTAGAGCTGAGTAATATTCCATTATATAAAAGTACCACAATTTTTTTATCCAATCCTCGGTGGATGGACACTTGGGTTGCTTCCACAATTTAGCAATTACAAATTGTGCTGCTATGAACATAGGTGCACATATATCATGAAATAAATCAGACCTGCATGTGCACGCACCGCACTGTCTCACTAGTGTAAAACTTGAAAGAGTTAATAAAAACCTGGAGGTATGATAGACATTGTGAAATGAAAGGAAAATGCTCAAGAGTAAAGGGTAACTGGGATGTGGGAAAAGAGAAGGCAAAGGAGAAATTTTGTATTAGGTATACACAGGTCAGTTAACATAGTTGAACTACTGTCTTTTATTTCTTTGCTGAAAGAAACAGTTAATGATTCCTTGACTGATCAATATTGCATGTCTGTTTGTTTTCCTGAGAAACCACTCTGAAGATATCAATGTGTAATACAGCAAGCATTGTTAATTTCCTACCACTTGGTTTGTACTGTCCTTTTGCTATTTTGTAAATGGTTGTCTGTTTGTTAATGTTTTCCTTCTTTTATTTTTAAAATAAATAAAAAGCACACGCCAGGGCAGGATCCTTCTTATCATAAGAACACCTCTGCCCACTGAGTGCCCAGGATTATCCCTCGTGCTGCCGCGGGGTCACCGCCGACTCCTGAGTCCCCCCGACCTGGAGTCCTCCGCCGCCCCTCCTACCATCCACCCCTCCCATCACCGCGCACCCAGCCAGTGGTGGTGGCTCGCAGCCCCTATTCTCTGCCGGCCGGGGACACTGCCCTCCCAGCCCCCTTCGCGTACTACCAAGTTTGTCTGTTTCTTGTTTCATCCTTTCACCACACCCCTCATACAGGCAGCTGGGATCTCGGCAGGTCCCCACAGGGGACAATTAATCTATTTACTGGAAATGTGTGCTATAAAAACAAAGCTAAGAGGTGAGGCTGGAAATATGACTGAAAAAAAGCCTTCTTTGTGCTACGAAGGCCTCTGCACTGAGCTACATCACTAGCTCCCCCTCCTCCCTCTTTCTCTGATACAGGGACTTGTTGAACCACTGAACTGCCCGGGCTGGGCACTAACCTGCCATCTTCCTGCCTTAGTCTCCTGGAGTGCTGGGATTCCAAGAGTGCGCTACCATACCCAGGTTAGAGAAAAAGGCCTTTTAAGTCACACTAAGACCTTTAAATTAAAGGCTACAGGAAAATATCCCGCTATTTTAAGCTACAGAGTAACTTAACATGGGACTGCCTTTCCAGAGTAACGTTCAGTGCCTTCTGGCAAACAAGCTAAGAGGAGTCAGGAAGACCGGAGCACAGACTGCAGCGGCAGAAGCAGTGGTGGTAGAATGGAGCAAAGCAAGCAGATGTAACGAACATCAGGAGACAGAATCAATACGACCGAGTGGCTGACCAGATGTGCAGAGGGTAAGGGAAGACCAGAGATTAGGAGATGTCCAGTTTCCGGCTTGGTCAGCTGGATAGTGAGGAAAAGGGAGAAGCATAAAAGATTAATTCAGTTTTAGACAAACCGGCTAAATCTAAAAAGTAAACAAGGGCTGAGAGTTTGACACCTGCCTAGCATGTACGGGGTCCTGGATTTGATTTCTAGCACCACAGAGAGAAGGAATAGTATACAAGAAATAATAAAGCAGCCAGGAGCAGTGGCACACACGGGCAATCCCAGGGCAAATACTGATGGAGGCTGAAGCAGGAGCACAAGTCCTGCCTGAGCAGCTTAGTGAGACCTTATCTCAAAAAGTAAAAGGGCCTGGAGATGAACCTCAGTGATTGGTTGCCTCTGGGTGCACGCCCCAGTACTGCAAAAACAGCAACAACAAAATCAATATCTTAACTAGGCAGAATATTCATAAAAACAAAAACATAAAGACAGGATAAAAAATAAAAAGGACAGACTCTGATATTTTTAAAAATATCTAGTAACATTCTATGCCATGGAAATCATCAAACATTCAGAAAAAAACGGGCAGCAGCGCCATTTATGGTGGAAATAATGAAAAGCTAATTGTTCAACCTCTTATTTTGCATCCTATATTTAAATCAGTCTGCACACCAGACAGAATACACAGCCCCAAATTGTTTAAGGATTTTTTAGGGCCGGGGATATAGCTCAAGTGGCACAAGCACCTGCCTGGCAAATGCAAGGTCCTGAGTTCAATTCCCCGTACCAAAAAAAAGATTTCTTAATGGTATGTAAAAAAACTTTATGACAATGTCAAATTTTAAAAAAACCAAAGTAGGATATAAAATTGTACAGACAGAATAATTTTGGCTATGAAAAACAGGAAGTCAACAGTGTTTATGTTGGGTAGTGATTTTTAAGTGATAAGAGTATTGCTTACTAATGTTCTGTGTTTTTAAATCTTTCCTAATAAATATGCTTAGACTTCAGGAGGAAAGCGTCTAAGAGAAAAACTGCAAAGCTAAAGTGGAAATGATTAGGTAGATCTGTATGGTACTTGTCCTTCCTGAGCCATCTTCCTGTTTTTATCTATAACTTTTAAAAGTGGATGCGGGAGCTGAGGGAGCTCAGTGGTAGAACGCTTGCCCAGCACGTCAACAGCGGGCCCTGTGTTCCACACGCAGCACTGCAAAGAGGGAAAAACAAGAGAAAGAAAAGGAAAGAGAAGTCAAAAGAGGAATAAAGACATTTGTTTGTTCTAAAGTACTGGTGATTT